CAAGGAACTTCCCTGGATGATAAAGGGAAGTCACACAGCAACACCTATGTGACAAGCCTATGGGTGGACAGAAGCAAAAATCAGAGTAGAGAAATCTACAAAGGATATCTCCAGAAAAAAATTGAAAATGATAAATTACTTGATGGGTCTACATACACTGAGAATACATTCACCATTCTGTCAGAAAAACTGGTGACAAATTAGTCAGAGGTGCACAGAAAATCAACAAATTTTAAAACCATGATAATTAAATCGAGAAAACTAAGAGATAAGGGAGTGGCTAAGCAAACTGTGGTATATCTATATCATGAAATACCACTTAGCAATAAAAAGAAATGAATTATTGATATACACAAAATCCTGGATGAATCACCAAAGAATTATACTAAGTGAAAAAGACAAGTCCAAAAAGTTATATACTATATGACTCCATTTAAGTAACATTCTTGAAATAACAAAATTGTAGAAATGGAGAACAGATTAGGGGTTTCAGGAGCTGAGTGGGTGAGGGTGAGAGAGAAGTAAGTACTGCTATAAAAGGATAAAAGGGATCCTGTAGTGGTGGAATTGTTCTATATCCTGTCTGCATCAGTGTCAGTACGCTACTTGTGATGTTGTACTATAGTTTTTGCAAGAAGGTACCTTTACAGGAAACTAGGTAAAGCCTACAGGGTCTTCCACTCTACTATTTCTTATAGCTGCTTGTAAATCTACAATTATCTCAAAGCAAAAGGTTTTATTTAAAAAAAGTAGAAGCTCCCAATAATATCTTTCTATATAGTAGGTTCTCCTTTTCTCCTTTTAAGCAGAATGGATTGAAATGATTAGATCCTCCCTCTCAAGGATTGAGCTGGATCTGACATAAAATTTTAGTAAGACCCAGGCCACTTGTAACCTGCCCTGTGTCCTTCAGAATGAGTTCTTCTGGGTGACTGAGAACCTGGTGAGCCTGTTTAGCCCTTAAAGATTACAATGTATTCAGTTCAGTCCTTTGGAGGTTTTTGTTTAACATGTTTTTAGCCTCTGGCCCAGACTGCTTCAAAATGTGGCAAATGTCTATTTGTAGTGGGCTCCTTTCCTGCAACAGGATTTTGCCTTGTTAGCATACCAAGACTACATGTTTCACTCTACCTTTCCGGCCCAAGTTTCCTGACTACCTCAGAACTTACAAATGTTCTTTAAGGAAAAGTGATTATCCACCTGGGGTGCCTCCAGGATTTCAATTTGTCATGCCACCCCTGTACTAGTAACAAAAGCCCTACTTTCCCACAGTAGACTCCCTCTGCCTGGGCCAATCCAAAACCCTCAGCTTTTGCCCAAAATTAGTAAATACTCTAGGGAAGAAAATGATTAACAAACATCAACTCATCTTCTAAGGATTCTTCTCTCTTTGGAATTTTAGTTCAACTAGTCCTTATTGCTTCCACAACTCCCAATGTATCTAAAAATATTATGTTTGCATTTCATTCTCTTTTTTAACTAGCAATTGCACCAAGAGTGTTGACCTACTGCAATCTTGCAATCTATTACATCCCACCTAAAAGTGGAACCTCTAGCATAACCTTGATACCTTGATACCTAAGCCCTACAAGAACATTTTGAGAAAAAAGACAATATTGTTCATGAACATAGATGCAAGCATCTTAAATATTAGCAAACCAAACCAAATAAGGTTAATACTTTATGACCAAGTCATGATTATCCCAGGAAATTTAGCTGATTTAACTTTCAAAAATCAATTTATCACATTAAAGGTCTCTCAATTCTGACAGGATGGATCTGTCTTCATTCCTTGTAACCAAAAAGCTATATATGTTTAATTATTTGTTTACACAAGTTTCTAATGAATGTTATTTCCAGCACTCGAGGCATACCTGGGAGATATTGTGAGTTCAGTTCCAGACCACCTCAATAAAGTGAGTATTGCAATAAAGCAAGTCACATGAATTTTTTAATTTCCCAGTGCATACAAAAGTTATGTTTACACTATACTGTAGTATATTAATATTAATATACCATATTATCTAAAAAAGCAATAGCATTGTCTAAAAAAAGTACATACCTTAATTTTAAAATATTTATTGCTAAAAAATGCTAATCATCTAAGCCTTCTAAATATCAATTTTTTTGCAACAGTAACATCAAAGATCGCTGATCACAAATCATCATTAACAAATATGATTATAATGACAACATCTGAAATATTGTGAGAATTACCAAAATATGACAAAGAGACACGAAGTGAGCAAATACTGTCAGAAAAACAGTACTGACAGACTTGCTTGACATAGGGTTGCCACTAACCTCCAATTTGTAAATAATGCACTGTCTGTGAAGGGCAATAAAGCAAAGTACAATAAAACAAGGTTTGTCTATATCCAATTCTTCTCTCCAATTAGTGTTGTGCTTTTGAATAATTGGTCTTCAATTATAAGCTTCAAAAACTCTATTCCAAAGTGCTATTTTACAGAGTTACGTCAACCTATCCTCTTAAGATATATATAATCAATAAAAGATTGAGTCCCCTGTATAGCAATAAATTGCCTTCCGTTTTCAGAAAACAACCAAACTTGACAACCTGGATTAGGAACTTTAGTAGTTGCCCACTTTCCTAAAAACCTAATTTAAGCATTATTTTAGGAAGAGTGAAAAGTGATTGTATTACATTTGATAATTCTAACTCCCAGACCTCTAATTTCAAACACAGGAAATGTCAGGCCAAATTTTTCAAAAAATACCTCTACATTTTATATAAACTCAATGGGAATATAGGATTTCCTTTTAAGAATAAGACAAAGAACCAAAATGTATCTAACTATATATATTGTGTACTGCTTCATTCATTAAAATATTAAACCTATACCAGTTCTCTTTTTTCACTTACCTCTTTGCTTGATGACTGAATACAAATGTCTTTTATTTTAGGTGTTGAATAAAGCACTGATTTTGTAGAATTTGTGCTAAAATCATTGGCAAGACCTAAAAAAAGTTAAAAATTTTTAAAAACAAAATATGTATAAAATCTTTCGGTTACAATTAAAAGAAGTCTGAAGAATTCTGTTGATTCTTTTAAATGCAATTAGTTTAACGAGTACAGGCATCAATTCGATAGTCAAATGTTCCTAGAAGGCATCTGGAACTAAAAAAGACAAGCAAGGTTCCTGGAAAAACATGTGCCAGTTCTTCTTTCAGAGCTTATAAAAAGATGCATCTGTTTTTGTCTGGTTGGCCTATTCTTTTGTTCCAATACCTTCTAATGCTGACCCACACTTGGAAAAGTTTTTGCCATAATTCATCTTTTCTTTAGGAAATCACCAAACAGTATCTCAAGCTCTCCAGTGAGCCCAAGAATTCTGCACATTTATTTCCATTACATGAAATACTTTCTCCTGTGTATGATAATTAAATTTATGACTTCTAGACTATAGGAATCTAGTACGACTGAAGGGAATAATAAATTATTCTCATTTTTGCCAGTATTATCTTCAGTGGACCAGAAGGTACAAGAACTGTACATGTACTCAAAATTCCTGGGAAAATATTTTACATATATTTAAATACTATAGTTGCTGAATTTGATATTAATAGGAAAAATTTATATTTTCATCCATCCCAACCCTCAAAGTCCATGTAGAAATGAAGCCTTACTTTTTTCTTCAAAACAGTCTAGTAAGGTTTTCAGTATATTCTGGCCTTGCTCCGTATTAATGTCAGGTGCCCTAAAAAAAGCAGGAAAGAAGGGAAAATGTCAACATATCATTTCCAAAAGATATTTGCTACCTATTAACATCTACTTTGACAATCCCATATCTGCTTACTATAAAATGTTAATTTACTTAATAGGAAAAATATCACCATTACTATCTGAGGACAAAACAAGTATTTGGGAGTCCAAGAGTTCCTAGAAAAGGATGTTTAGTAATACATCATTGTCTACATTAACAATAAAATTACTTGACTGAATAGCCATGACTAAAGCTGTTTTAGACTACTGCTATATCTAAACAAGAACATAAACTCTTTTGAGCAAATTCAAACAACCCTGAAATGCTTCTTTAATTCTCTATGGTCAGAAGTCCTAACAGCTCCAAGTAACACAGTCTTCCCCACAAGATCTCAAATTCACTTTTGATTCAGTATCTTTACTCTTAACAGGAGCTTATGAATCAGTATACATTTTTACTTAAAAGTTGTATTGACACAATTGTAGATTCATGTACAATTGTAAGAAATAACACAGAAGAGATCCCTCCTTGACTTCATCCAGTTTCCTGCAATGGTAACATTTTACAAAACTATAGTTTACTGTCACAATCAGGATATAGTGATAGAATCTACCAATTTTATTTAGATTTCTCCAGTTCTACATGTACTCATTTGTGTGTTTATGTTTGTATGTGTATTTAGTTCTGTGTAGTTTATCACATTTGAAGGTTCAGATATGGCCACCACAGTTAAGATACTGAGCAGTTCCATCACCACAAAGATCCTTCTACTGCCCTTTTAGAACCACATCCACCTTTTCTTTTAGCCCCATGGAATAAACTACATCTTTCTATTATTACCATTCAATCGACTTTAGAGTGTTTCCCCATAGCTGTCATTTAGTCAGAACTGAAACTGCTTCTTCCTGGTCCACCATTTAACAGGTGAATTTCTTTTCTCACTTCCATCAAGTCACTGCACTGCTTGCATTAACAGTCTTCTGTTAATATAAAATAACTAAGATGACTACACAATCAGTGGGCATAGAAATTATTATTTTAGTTAGAGATAATAGTTTTTCCTTTCTTCATTTAAAAATTCTACTTTCTGAAGATGGGAATAAAAATCATCTTAAAAGCTTAAGTATATAAATCACCTGGAAGATCGGCAGAATCTTCTCCTATAGTCATTTTTAAGATGATCCTGAAAGGAAAGTAAATCATCAATCTGGTGAAAATTTAAGTTCTTCATTTATTCATTCAGCAAGTATTTAGTGATTGTGTATTATAATACTATAAAGAGGAATTCTTCTGGATCAAGTGAAAAAGAACTTGCCTCATATCTACTGTTTCCAAAACTTTGTTTACACTATTTCCTTACCCTGGGATTTATTCCATCCTCTTCCACTTCCTCCACCTCCTCCCATACCTTTTCCATTAAAATCATATTATCTGGGCTTCCAATAATTCAAGTTGGTTAACTAATAATATCTACTTATCACCTTTCCCTGCAGGGAGATCCCTCTAAAGTAGTAAAATAATAAACTGACATAAAATGACAATGAGAAGGAGAATGGAAGAGAGGACTATCTGTGGACAAACAAATTTAACAAGCTTCTGGTAGATGGAAAACAAATGAAAACGTGGTAACTGATGAAACAGAGTAAAAGGAGAAGCGGCCTAAAGTAAGCTCACAAGATACTGTCCTGGATGAGGAGTGAAGCTGTTATGCCAGGAGAAAGCCCTAACTATGCAGAAACTCGAGATCTGAAGGAGCTAAAGAGACAGGAAATAAAAACAGAGCAATTCAAAGAAAATTTATATTTTCTGAGAACAGTAGATGCCCTCCCCCCACTTTCCCTATCCCCATAAATGCAGCGCTCAAAAACAGTATTCCATTGTCGCAGTTTTAAACATTACCAGCATCTATGGATAACCAGACACTAAGTTTCTAAAATAAAAGAGGAAGATCAAGATATAAATTTTAAAAAATGAAAAAGAAAAAGGCCCAAGAGGAAACTAATAGCAAGGATGAGGAAGATAATTCCCCAAAAAAAAAAAAGAAAAGAAAAAAAACACACACAAAATAGAAAATGCTAATTAGCACCTTCAAGAGAGATTTGAGGTAATACTGGACTCATAAATCAGAAATGGTATACTATAAGCACAAGACAGAGAGTGAGAAAAATTCTTAATAATTAAAAACATGATTACCTAAAATAATGCAGTAATTATGAAACAGCTGAGGATACTTCTAGAGAGAAAAAAAAAACAGAACAAAAGTCAAAGAGATGGAAAATGGGAGGAAAAATAAAGATCCAAGAAATCAGAAAGTCCAACTTCTGACCAATATTATTCCAGACAGAACAAAAAGGCAAGAGATAAAAATCTAAAAGATATATAATCAAATTCCCCAAATCTGTAGGACATAAGTGGTCAGTCAGTATAATGAAAATTTAAGAAGATCCATACTTAGGAATATGAGTGAAATATTAGAAAAATTGAGTATAAAAAGATGCTAGAATGTTTCAAAAAAGAGAAAATAGGTAACCCCAGTAAAGAAGCAGTCCCCATCAATGGAAACAACAGGAAAAATAAAAAACACAGACATGCTGAAATTGGAGATGGAGAGTATATCTGCGATACTCTGGGTCCTATATTCTAATTGTAAAATCTACAAAGTTAAATTTTCTATTTGAAAATTGGACAGTAATAGATGAATAGTATGCTTTTAAAAGTAAGTATATTATTATCACAAAATGCTTAGTAAGCTTCACTTTTACTTGGCCCAATGGGATATAAATGACCCCATCTCATGTAGACATTCTCTTTACCCTACTCATGCTCTAACATCCTGAGCTGGGCCACCCTTCTGACTCAGCTAAGGCTCCTACACACTCCTCTGGGTCACAGTAGCTTCCCATCCATAGGGACTGCTACCTTGCTTGGCTCCACCTAACAGTTTTTGGATTGAATTATCCTGGAAGCTGAAGACCTCTACTACATTTTAAGAAATTTCGAGAGCAAAGATTGTGTCTTAAGCTAGTTTACAGTCTTCCCAGAGCCTTGCCTAGTGCATTGTATATCACATAAACACCATTTTTTGTTATCTTTTTGACATGCCAAATACATAAGACCAAAAACTTTTGAGATAAAAATGTCTTTCTTTAAAGAAGGTAAGAGTGTTTCACATAGCCTATATCTTTGGGAGGTATCTAAGGAGCAAAAGATTACATCTATTTTATAGGTAGCAAACTAAGGAACAAAAACATCTAACAAGATTGCATTTCATCACAAGTCATTTGATGGAAACTTAACTGAAGCACTAAGGTCTCTCATCAGTACTCAGCGTTCTGAAATACTTAAGTAAACCCCTGAGAATGTTGGTTAACTACCTTCCAAGGGCTAATTTAAGATCTCCCTTCTATTTTCACACAATAAATTGAAAGAATCATCAAATCTGTACACTGAATGTTTCTGAATATTAAATAACCCGTGTAAAGTATTCTGTTCCTCTTTTAAATAGAAAAATTTTAAGGCTAAGATAGCTCATTCATTCAGCAAATACGAATCAAGCACCGCTAAATGTTATTTAGGCTTGCTAGAAAACAAGTGGTGAACAAGACAAACAAGGTCTCTTAATTCTAAATTAAAAGTTAGAATAGAGAAAATTTTAACTTTCAAAAATACACATTCAAAAACAGCTACTTCAACTCATTTTTCATTCAATTTCAATTTTAGTTTCCTCCATTCACTGTGAGATTATGTTTCTCAAGGAAAGTAATATACAGCACAGCAGAGTTTCTTAATCCCAGCATCACTGACATTTTGGGCTGGATAACTTTTGTTGTGAGGGCCTGCCCTGTGCATTTTAGAATGTTTAGCGGCATCCCTGGCCTCCACTCATTAGGTGCTCTTAGCACCCCCTCATCTATGCCCTCTCAAGACAACCAGAAATTTTTGCAGACATTTCCAAATGTCTCCTACAGGACAAAATCACACCAGGTTAGAAAGCACTGAAGTCCAGGACTGAGTGAGGATAATCTCTCAACTCCTCTCTCCCCTCATCTTTTAAACGAATTATGACACAAAGTCAGATATTAGAACTAAAAGGCTCAAAGCAGTTCTAAGTTTATGATAGACATTTTAAAAGCAAACCTATGGTCAAAAGAATGAGAAGACAGCAGGATGGACCAGCAGCTGCTCTTCCAAGTTCCGTTTCGTCTATCTCTTTCTTCCTGAGTCTCAGAATCTAAGTGCAGTCCCCTAGGAGGCCCATTACACAGAGAAGGAAAGAGAACTTTGAAAGAGGGGAACAAGGGCAATGATTACAGAAGGCTGACGGGAGGCATGGAAAGCAGGAAAAGAAGTTTAGCGCGAGAACTACGACAAGCTTCAACCAGTCTAAGCTTCCCATATTCTGAAGGACATCATCCTAGAAGTAGGAGAAATTCATTAACAGAAAGGCAGAGACCACAGTGAGAAAATAAACTGTTTATTAATAATATCATTGATATTATGATTATTGATCACAGATTTAAAATGAATGTCAACACTGATACAAATAAAATACTGATCATGGTATTAAAGAAAGAGAGAAAGAATGAGAAGACAAGCCACAGAACACAGGCTGGGAGAAAACATTTACAAAAGGCAAATCTGATAAGGACTGTTATCCAAAATATACAAAGAACTCTTAAAACTCAATAATAAGAAAACAACCCAATTTAAAAATAAGACCTTAACAGACACCTCACCTAAGAAGATATACAGATGGCAAATAAGCATTTGAAAAGACATTCCACACATGTCAAGGGGAAATGCAAATTAAAATGAGATACCATTACACACCTATAAAAATGACCAAAATCTAGAAGAACAACCCCAAATGTGGAACAATGGAAATTCTCACTCATATTGGAATGCAAAATGGCACAGCCACTTTGGAAGACACTTTCATGGCTTATCACAAAAGTAAACATACTCTTACCATATGATCCATCATTTTTTTCCTCATCAACAGTATCAAAGGGTGGTATAGAGAATACTTTTTACCATAAGCACGTACATTGTTTACATTATATATAATGGTTAACTGAAAAAAAAATGCACAAGTTAATATCTGCAAGTTAAGTTTTACTTGGGGACCTTACTGAGAACTATAGGCCATATCTAAGGTCTCTTAGATAACTGAGGAATGGTTCCGAAGAGGTAAGGGAGGAGTCAGGACATACAGGAATTTTTTGGGTCAGGGGGGTGGGGGGACAGATAGTCAAACATCAAAAGATTACTGCTGATTATAAAAAACGGACACCTCAAGTTCATTATGTTAGTGTTTCTCTAATATGGGAAGCTCCAAGAGTCTGGACTCATTGAAATTATTCCTTAAATAAGTATCTTATCTATCTAGGTCCATTATCCTGTTTTTCTCTGTTCTGACTTCCCCTCAGGCACATGACACCGAGG